TTTTCACCAGACAACTTATCCCGCAATGTGATAGCGGTAGTTTCGGGGACATTTGTGCACACAACAGTCAGGGCGTTATTACTGGAGCCCATTTTCGTTGAGCTACAAGCTGGCCTGATCGTTAGTCCTGGCTTTATGCCAAAGGATGACTGTCCACTGTTTGTCTCTCTAATCGCGTTGGCGGTGTTTGCAACAGAGGAGACACTAAATGTAACAGCCCGATCTCTACATATGTGAATGAAGTCAAGCATGACTGGAACTCGACCCGAGACCCCTGTGTTGCAGTGCAGTGCACGCAGGTTCGGCTGCCCAATACGTGCCAATGATGCAAATCATTAAGACCGGCTGAATTTGATCGATTGCACGTTCCGGATGTTGCCTGATTTTTGTGGTGCTGAGTGCCGTTTGAATATCAGAGGCACGGTCTGATTTCGCTTGGCGTTCTACCACAAGTGAAGGAGAAAACGACAAAGGGGATTTTCTCGATTGTTATTCGGGCACCATTTCTTCTCCTAGAAACCCCTCTTTTGTCCTGCCATAATATTGCTGCCAATCATATAATCGTGGATTTCATTTGCTGTTCAACTTCTTCTGCTGCTCGGTCACACTTTTGGACGAGGAGAAGTATACATTTGACTAATGGGTTGGCCAAACACGCAGTACAAATCCATAGATTGTCTTGGGAGTTGTTTCGAATTCTCATGTGTGATTGGGCATATTTACACACTTTGAATGATACCACATGAAATAGTGTGAGCAAGGTAGACCAATGTTAACCAGTCGGATTCATTCTGCCAAACCACATTTATAGTTCAACTGGAGCCATTCCGGAGTTGCATCTCTTCGCACTCTGCTACTCGACAGAGTGCAGCTATATTAACTGGTGAGCTAGTTGCCATTACGTACTTTTCCCATTGGTCGGTTGTTATCTCCCGTAGTCCGCGAGCGATGTGCTTCAAAGCTCAAAATAAGACTGGCGGATGTTGGTTTGCGCTGGTGTGTGTGATAGGTTAATCCGGAGCAATGGTTGACGCAGTCACAAAGAGTGGCGATAGGATTTGTGTCATCACAAACTCCAAAAATGCTGAGCATGCAGCAACGTAGTATGTAATGCGAAGTAGATGCATCAACTGGAACAAGGGAACAACGATTTGTAGTCGAATTGATCGCTTCAACAAAGGTGTTTCGAACGGGGGTAGGAATTCCAAAAGCGTTTGAAATTGGATGATTGCAGCGATGCGCTTTAGCAACAAAATCCGTCCAAAACACAGACGTGAATCTGAAATTAAAACGAAAATAAAAAACCGAATGCTAAATAGGAATATATAAGAGCTGATGAATTATATTCGGATGCATGTAAGCTAAATGTAGCTGCTACTCGTGATGAGTTCGCAGATTTACGTACGTACCTGGGAATGAAATCGCGGTCTAGTGTACAGTCGAAGAACTGTGTGCATTCGCCACCCAAGTAATTAGGTAGGGAAGTGCAACACTCCTACATGGCAAGTGGCACGGTGCATCCTCATGAATTCGAATTACAATGATCCCCTGCAGATTTGTGTCGATTGCGTTATGCTCCAGTGCTAGAACACTGTCACTTCATTCACAATGTTTGACAACATCACAAACAATACAGCAGTATTTATGAACAATGAACAGTGAATTTATACGGGTTAAAAAGCGTTGCTTTACAAGCCACTTTGGATAGTTGGTGGGGATATCAACATAATAATTATGATGAAAAGGATAATAAAAATGTTAACACTTTAAATACCAAAATAAGGACTTATCTTTTGCTTCGCTGCGGTCCTGCGATCCACTTAGATTCACAACACTCACAGTTAACAACAAATAATTCCAGGTGTATGATGGAGACATATTGTTAAGTAACGAAGTGTAAGTGGATGAGTGCATCGTCCAACCGTCTTTTAAATATTGTTAGTGTCGGTGCAGAGACGACCTATTCTGGGAGTGCATTCCACGGGTGACAGACACGGATGGAAAAGAAATTTCTGCGGCACTCCAGAAGACTGTATTGTTCTGCGAGTTTTAATGAGTGGCCCCTCAGGTTTGTATTGCTGCTGAGTTGCAGTAAAGGGCGGCACACATGATGTGGGTCTCGCAGAATCAAGTATGTCATAATCAGGTCGCCTCGTAGCCTGCGATAGCTTCCAATGAACAATCCTAGTCGTCGCAGCCTCTCCTAGTAGGACAGATTGCGCATTGCAGTTACGTTCTTAGATGCCCGGCGTTGAGGCTTCTCCAGTGCATTAAGGTCCTGTTTTAGCCATGGATGCCAGGCTTGAATTGCGTATTCGACATGGGGGCGGACATACGCACTGAGCATTTGTCGAAATATGGAGCTGTTTATTTGTCCAAACGCCCGCCTCAACAGCCCAACGTGTTGATTCCCGGTCTTCGAGGCCTTTTCCAAATGCCTGGAGCAACCCAAGTCATCTTGAACCAGGACACCCAAGTCACGTTCGAGAGTTGATTGTTGCAGTACATCCGTTCCGAGTCGGTATGAGTAGATGCCGTGATGTCGGATGGAAAGCACCTTGCATTTACTGACGTTGAAATGCAATAATAAAAATAATAATTCAATAATAATAATAACAATAATAATAATAATAATGCAATGCAGCTTCCATAGACGTTCTTGTTGGGCCATCAGCCGTCTTGAGTGGAGGAAATCCTTGCCTCACCTTCCGTAGGCTATTAACGTGCTTGTACAGCAGTTTGTGGTTAGCACTGAAGGTTTTTGCGATGTTCTGCTGATAGGCGGCTTTGTCTTCTCTTAACAGTTGAGTGCAGTGGTTACATTGGTCTACGTAGTTGTCCCACGTTTCAGGTGCTGGAGCTTCTTTGTACACTAGCCATGCTGCGTTGCGTACTGTCATCCATTTTCGGGTTCTGCTCCTAACGAAAGAAATGGATTTGCACTTATTGCAAGCTTTTATCTCTGAAGCCTGTGCAATCAGCTGACTGAATGTGTTGACGAACTCGAGCCAGGCGACTTCCGGGGGTTCTTATTCGAGGAAAGACCATGTTGTGGCGCTGACTAGCTGGGCGAGTCGGTCGTACCTTGTGATGGTTCGCACAGTATCATCGTTATCATTCCGATATTCTGCATAGCAGACGAAGTTGAAACTGATGACTGCGTGATCACTGCGACCCAACAGGCAGTCTAAAACCAACGCATCAATCATATGCTCCTCGTTGGTAAGCACAAGATCCAACACAGATGGCCTGTTACCAGTTCTGAACCGAGTGGGCAAAGTGATGTGGTTGTAAAGAGGAGCAGTAGTTACTAGATCTTGTAAATCGGTTTTGAATTGTTCGCCGGTTGTGGCAGGGGCTTCTAAACAATGTACGTTGAAATCACCCATGATAAGAATGTGAGTGTACTTTTGTTGTAAACTGCACCTTAAAGCAGCCATTAGGTGGTAGTCGGTTTCGGATGTTGAGTTAGGGGCGCGGTACACCAGGATAATAAGGCAAGCGTCCCTGCCTTTTAACTGCAACCGGCACCAAAGAGAGTCAGGGAACTGCGAATTTGAATCCTCCACGGCTTCGCACTGTAAGTCGTTTCGGTAGTACAGGATTACCACTCCTCCTTTTGTGAGCCTATCGTTCCGGATCAGCGACATGCCGGGTAGCGACACTTCAGCGTCCGTCATTCCCGTGTGCAACCATGTCTCGGTGATACCAATGACATCATACGAGTCGGAAGCTTGGCGATCTTTCAGTTCAGCGAGTTTGTTAGAAAGTCCCTGAGCATTTGTATACAAGCAGGCCAGTTTCTCGGTCTCTAGGAGCCGGCAGAGAGGTGAAGCTGTTAAGTGAGGGAGAATGCCGACCGATGGGAGGTCAGCAGTCACTCGTTTTTTGATGGGTCCATGATACCTCGTTTACAACTTGATTCGGCCAAGGTGCGTCCCAGCCTTCGTTTAGACCTACTTCAGAGTCAATTAAAGCAGCAGTCAAGTTACACTTCCGTACATTCGTCAGGAAGCTTACTGCTTCAGTTGCTCTAATACTTGAGCTGTGCGAATTGTTTGCGACCTTTAACCATATTTCGGAAGGAAGATGTTTCCGATTTCTCCGCCATCGATCCAAAACATCCTTTGCTTGTTGCTCTGACTGAACCACAAGTGTTAGGATTCTAGGGCCGCATCCTCTATAATTCGATGAGAGAGGTATCCTGGTGAGCGATAGTGCCACAACATCATCCAAAGAAAGTGTTTCACGAATGAACCGCCACTGTTCTAAATCGTGCTTTCCGGTATCTTGAACATGGTTAGAAGGATGTTCTGGCACGCCATGTATGAAGATTGTGTTTAGGCGGTCTTGCTTGCTGTGCCCCTCTTCGGTGTTTCTTTTTTGTTGTCGGGCGCTCCAAGAGACATCAGGATAGATACGTATCGCACAGGATTCGTGTTTTAGCGCGCTTGCGGAGAGCAAAACATTTTCCACGTCGGTGGAAGATTCTAGAGTTACTCGAATAAGTCTGGGTTCACCAGAGTGTGGCGAGTTCGGATGACGAGTAATTCGTAACAAGTTTATGGGCTTGGCTTTGATACTCATCTGCATACACAATGAGTTCCATTGGTCTTGGTCGTCTGATAACTTATCCCGCAATGTGATGGCGTTAGATGCAGGGACATTATAGCATACAACAGTCCGGGCACTGTTGTTGGATCCCATTTTATTCGATCAAAAAGGTAAGGTACTCATTTGTGTTGACTTGTTAACAAGTGATTTTTTGCTGTTTTTCTCTCCATTTGCGTTAACGGTGTTTACAATGGAAGAGGACGCAACGGCGGCCTCTCGGTGGACCCTTGCAGCAATCTCCGCATATGTAACCGACGTTCTGGGAGGTTGAGGGTGACAATCCGAGCATCATTTGATAACTTACAGATATGCTGTGGTTGCTTGTGTGCAGTAGAGAATGTGACTAAATGTGAACTGGAAACATGCAAGCTGATTATATGTTTCAGCACAATCACAGGAAGCGGAGAACCAGGTACAAGTGGAACTGCAACCCGAAGTTGCACCAGAGGCACTCGAGGGATCCGTAGACAAGACAGAAACTGAAACGCAACCCACAGCACAACCTGAGACGAAGGCGGATGTTGAGGCGGAGGTGGCACAGGAACCGGTGCAAGTACCCGAAGAGGTGGTTGCTGCCGTACCCGAGCAGCAGTTTGCAATCGGTACGTTGATTTCATTCCATTTGACGTTATGCCCCAATTTGCGTTCACGTGCATCCACTGCTCACTGCGCTGTTACCCCGACTCTGCTAGACACCTTAGTGGACATTTGTCGTGCAAGTTAGCAAAATGCGTGAGAACGTACATACCGCTAACTTCAAAGTCCTGACATGGTGTAGCGCTAAATTTGTGGCGAGCAGCTGTTGTAAATTTGGTCGCGTTCAGTCAGTCGAACGCTGGTGCATTTGCGGTGATTGGACGTGAAAACAATTTTGAGGTAGAAGACAAGGCATCGAAGTAGTGACTCGGAGATGGCGATTTATATATTGTGTTTGTTTAACAGGTCCGATTAATTGTTACTCTTCTGAGCGCTAAAAGATGAACATGAGGATGAGGTTGTGCATGATGCTCTTGTTGATTCAGTGCTGTACACAAAGCATTGATAATGTTTATTCGTTTTGTGTGCAGCGTATATTCCGAAAAGTAACAGTCGCTTGAACAGTCGCAAAAGAATGCGATTTGTAATTGTGCTATTTTTACCACTGCTCTCGGTTCTCGCATAATTCGTCTTTCGAGCTTACACGATCGCTCTGTGGGACGCATCGTTATGTGTCACGTGTTGCGCCACACCACAACACACCACACGGGCCATCGATCCATCTATCCAGCCAGCCATCCAGCCATCCATACATCCATCAATCCATCCAGGGATCCAGCAAGTCTTCCAGCTCGTGCTCACCCCAGCGACACAGTAAATCACGGCCAGAATCGCGTTCACTCACTCACGCATTCACTCACTCGAGCGATCGATCGATCGACACTTGCAACCCCTCACACTCCCGTTGTCTGCCAACCTGCTGGCAATGTGTTGTACCGTAATGTAGCACTACGTACATGACTCAGTTGACGACTAGGAGGCATCTGACATGGGAATCCAAGGCACGTAGTTTGGACTAATGAGCACCTGATGCAAGGTTCGGACAGTCGGTACATGAACTTCTAATAGTAGTTATGGTTCCACGAGCTTGTGTGTGAATACATAGGCTGCCGAGCAGGAGTTTCAATACCTGAACTCCGGCAGTAGCACTGCTTCAAACGCAGAGATTGTGGTTCAAAGTGCCAGTAAACTGAGATCACCTGAATATGGTCGAGTCATAAACGAACGCAGATGAAGTGGGCTGCGAAAAATACATTTAGCTGCTATTAATAATGACATTGCAGCGGTTTGTTTCGTTGCATGCAATAAACTTGTATGCTAATGAATACCCGAAATCTAATGTGTAGATGCCACATAATAAAAGAATACAACAATTGAACCATGCATCTATTTGAATACCACGTTTCCTGCTCCCCTGAACATTTGTGTCGTTTGCGTTATGCTCCAGTGCCAGAGCACTGTCACTTCATTCACAATGTTTGACAACATCACAAACAATACAGCAGTATGAATGATAGGGTGACAATCCGAGCATCATTTGGTTACTTACAGATTTGTTGTGGTTGCTTGCGTGCAGTATCGAATGTGTCGAGATGTGAACTGGAAACATGCAAGCTGATTATATGTTTCAGCACAATCACAGGAAGCGGAGAACCAGGTACAAGTGGAACTGCAACCCGAAGTTGCACCAGAGGCCCTCGAGGGATCCGTAGAGAAGACCGAAAGTGAAACGCAACCCACAGCCCAACCTGAAGCGAAGCCAGAGGTTGAACCGGAGGTGCCACAGGAACCGGTGCAAGTACCCGAAGAGGAAGCTGCTGCCGCACCCGAGCAACCTGAGCCAATCGGTACGTTACATCCATCCCATTTGACGTTGTGCCCCATTTTGCGTTCACGTGCATGCATTGCTCACTGCGCTGTTACCCCGACTCTGCTAGACACCTTAGTGGACATTTGTCGTGCAAGTTAGCAAAATGCGTGAGAACGTACGTACCGCTAACTTCAAGGTCCTGACATGGTGTAGCGCTAAAATTGTGGCGAGCAGCTGTTGTAAATTTCGTCCCGTGCAGCCAGTCGAATGTTAGTGCATTTGCGGTGATTGAACGTGAAAACAATTTTGAGGTAGAAGGCAAGGCATCGAAGTAGTGACTCGGAGATGGCGATTTATATATTGTGTTTGTTTAACAGGTCCGATTAATTGTTACTCTTCTGAGCGCTAAAAGATGAACATGAGGATGAGGTTGTGCATGATGCTCTTGCTGATTCAGTGCTGTACACAAAGCATTGATAATGTTTATTTGTTTTGTGTGCAGCGTATATTCCGAAAAGTAACAGTCGCTTGAACAGTCGCAAAAGATTGCAATTTGTAATTGTGCTATTTTTACCACTGCTCTCGGTTCTCGCATAATTCGTCTTTCGAGCTTACACGATCGCTCTGTGGGACGCATCGTTATGTGTCACGTTTTGCGCCACACCACAACACACCACACGGGCCATCGGTCCATCTATTCAGCCAGCCAGCCATCCAGCCATCCAGCCATCCATCAATCCATCCAGGGATCCAGCAAGTCTTCCAGCTCGTGCTCACCCCAGCGACACAGTAAATCACGGCCAGAATCGCGTTCACTCACTCACGCATTCACTCACTCGAGCGATCGATCGATCGACACTTGCAACCCCTCACACTCCCGTTGTCTGCCAACCTGCTGGCAATGTGCTGTACCGTAATGTAGCACTACGTACATGACTCAGTTGACGACTAGGAGGCATCTGACATGGGAATCCAAGGCACGTAGTTTGGACTAATGAGCACCTGATGCAAGGTTCGGACAGTCGGTACATCAACTTCTAATAGTAGTTATGGTTCCACGAGCTTGTGTGTGAATACATAGGCTGCCGAGCAGGAGTTTCAATACCTGAACTCCGGCAGTAGCACTGCCTCAAACGCAGAGATTGTGGTTCAAAGTGCCAGTAAACTGAGATCACCTGAATATGGTCGAGTCATAAACGAACGCAGATGAAGTGGGCTGCGAAAAATACATTTAGCTGCTATTAATAATGACATTGCAGCGGTTTGTTTCGTTGCATGCAATAAAATTGTTTGCTAATGAATACCCGAAATCTAATGTGTAGATGCCACATAATAAAAGAATACAACAAGTAAACCACGCATTTATTTGAATACCACGTTTCCTGCTCCCCTGAACATTTGTGTCGTTTGCGTTATGCTCCAGTGCCAGAGCACTGTCACTTCATTCACAATGTTTGACAACATCACAAACAATACAGCAGTATGATTGCTAGGGTGACAATCCGAGCATCATTTGATAACTTACAGATATGCTGTGATTGCTTGTATGCAGTAGAGAATGTGTCTAAATGTGAACTGGAAACATGCAAGCTGATTATATGTTTCAGCACAATCACAGGAAGCGGAGAACCAGGTACAAGTGGAACTGCAACCCGAAGTTGCACCAGAGGCACTCGAGGGATCCGTAGACAAGACAGAAACTGGAACGCAACCCACAGCACAACCTGAGACGAAGGCGGATGTTGAGGCGGAGGTGGCACAGGAACCGGTGCAAGTACCCGAACAGGAGGCTGCTGCCGTACCCGAGCAGCAGTTTGCAATCGGTACGTTGATTTCGTTCCAGTTGCAATTGTACTCCAATTTGCGTTCACATACACACATTTTTGCGCTAAATTGATACATTGCTCCAAATCGACTGTAGACATCTCACTGAACATTAGTACGTGTTTACATATGCGCGGCTGAGTTCAAAGTGTGGTCGTGGTGTGATGTGGAAACTTGTGGTAATCTTAGTGGTTTAACACGTATCACCTTCAAACAATTGAATGCTAGTGCACTCGCATTGATCGAACGCGAAAACATTTCAGATGTGGACGATGGGTCGTTGAGGTTCTGACACGGAGATGGTGCCTGAGACATTGTGTATGTTAAACAGGTCTGATGTAATGATACTCGCTGCTCTGTAGTTTGAACTTGATTGGTGATAATGTTGTTGATGTTTTGAGACGTAGAGACACTATTGTCTGTGGTAAACTAACATTGTCCGTAACGGAACCCGTAGAGAAACAGTGGCGTGAACAGGTGAAAGAGAATGTGATTGGTGATTGTGTTTTCTCTATCCACTGCCATCAATTCTTCCCTAAATGCGAATATTGTGCCTGCACGATTTCACTGCGGATCGCATCCTTACGTGTCACGTGTTTCACCACAAGGAAACACAACACACCGCACATTTCCCTCCAGTAAACGGTGCTCTTGCTACTTCGAAGTTAACCGTATTCGAATCTTATCGAAGGAGTTAGGTTTCCTCTCGTCGGAAAAGAACTCTTGGGGCATTATTTTAAAAGTCTTTTTGAAATTCACCCGATCTTCTTACTACCATTCCTTCAAGTCGCTGTACAAAGCGATAGTCGTCAATTTGATCCGCCCTTGTAACTGCTGCTTTCGTCGTTAGACAGTAGTTTCCAAGTCCTCTTGCTTTGCATCAATCCTACGCTGCATCGCTGCCTACCGAATTACCGGCTGTCTCGATAGCACGCACGTCGCCTATCTATTCTAAGGAACGTGTGAGTCAGCTGGCCGCGGTACGCCTGAACCCGCTGACCTCAAACCAGCGCCCGTGCGTCAGTATCTCTGTCATCTTGCTACCCCTTAAAACAGCACGCCTACTGTGAACATGTCTCGTATGAAGAGCAAATGCGAATCATGTGCTAAAGGGGTAAAAAGTGGTCTGGTGTGTACCATGTGTCTGAAATCCTATCACACTACCTGCCTTGCGAAGCGGTCGACGAAAACCAACATCGCAGAGGCGTTTTGGTTCTGCCAAGTATGCAATTCTATCCCATTTGTTAGCTGTCTATCTGTGCTACTGAAGAGGTGTGAAAGACTAACCGAAGCGGTCGAGCAACTGGTGAGCGCCAGAGTTACACCCATGGAAGGAAACGGACCTGCACCTGTGCGTGAAAATAACACCCCGAATTCCCTAGTCAGGACGAATAAGCGAGCCAGGCGTCCCAACCTAACCCCAACGACCCAGCCTCCAGCAGCATCAACTTCATTCTCTATCCATCCTATAAGTAAAATCATTGCCTGCAGCGCGCCTTCCTCAATTTCTCTACTGTGTGCTGCATCTAGTAGTCTGGCCGCTACACACGAGACCGTAAGCTACAGTCAACCAGCAATAGTGAACAACCTGGCAACGTAGGCATCGGTTGCTGCCAAGCAAACACCGGAAAGAGCACCGGTAACTTTTGTGCCCAGACTAGAGAAAACTAATGTATCGCAGCACGGATGGCGCCCATCAGTGCCGTTCACAAATTCACCAAGAACACCGAATACTCAGCCTCCAAATCTAAAACCAGTAGTCACCAGGCGCAACCATGGTGCCCTAAACCTTGTATGCACAAATGTCCCCGAATCCAAATCCAATACATTTAAGGGTAAGTTGACGGACGATCGAAATCAGTGGTGTTCCGTCTATACGTCGATCGGTTTACATGCTAATCCCACGACATTAAAGAGAATCTCGCGCCACCGAAATGTGTTGCACTACGGCGAACCCCGGTTACTTCGGGTAACACTAAACTCGACGGACGAGACTGAGGCAGTTCTGCTGTCTGCGAATCGTCTCCGCAACGACTCAAGTGGAGTGCGCATACTACCCGAAATCCCGTGGAAAGAACGTTCAGTGGAGCCTGCTAACAAATAGTGGTACAGAAAAAGTTAAGATACGAAAACAGTGATTGCTCCTAGTGTTTCTGAGCTTACTGATTCCTCTTCCGACTATGCTCAGATGCACGACCTCGAGCAATGGCACTACATCCGGGAGGCTGTTTCTCTCAAAAATGGCGTGGTTACCTCGTTGACAAGTATCCCGATATCACCAAACTATAAGGGGTGCGGTCCCAGGCTGTTAAAACTTGTGTTACAGTCAGAAGTAACAGCACAAAACCTACCAAAGAACTGGACTAAATTCCGTTGCAGATTGCCAACAGAAATTCATTTGAAAGCAGCGGGAACACCAGCACCTTCTAGTGACAATTCAGTAGAGGCAAAACTCTTAATGAAAACGCCAACTGCAGGACCCGATTCGGGAACGGTTTCAAGAGTAGCCATAATATCCGGAGGGACACAGCATAGCACGAGCAAACCCCGGGATCCGGGGGCATCTGATACTTGACTATATACCAAATTCGTCTCGAGAGTCTGCAACCCAACCAAAAAACGATTAGTCAACGACCCTTTATTGGTCGGCGTGAACTCACTTGCTTCATCCATCCAATCTAACACACTTTTGGTCTCCGGGAAGCTCTCATGCATGTACACAAATGCCCAAGGTCTACTCAGCAAATTAGCTGAATTACGACTTCGACACGCGTCAGCAGCTTGGGACCTCATCGCTGTTACCGAGACGTGGTTGCGCTGCGAGATAACCGATGCTGAAATTACACTAATGGGCATGTCCGTAGTCCGGAAGGATCGAACCAGCAAAGGTGGTGGGGTAGCCCTTTACTTTCGTAACAACATGCAATGCGAACGCATAAACGATTCGGAAACCGACGTACCTGACTCCACTTGGTGTAATTTCCGGCTAAGAGGGAATGATCTTGGCCTATTGGTTGCTGTTTACCGCCCACCATCGTCTACTCCTGAGATGGACTGCAATTTGATGGCTGCGTTGAGGCATGTGATAAACAGAAAGTACAGTCACATTCTAGTCACCGGTGACTACAACTTACATGCTCTCGAATCCCAGGCCACACCAGGACAGCAATTCAAAGCAGATTTGCAAGATCTGATTTCAGACTTCCCGCTTTATGGCCACGTCACTACGCCCACCAGGTTCAGGGGAACTGACAGGCCATCCATATTGGACCGAATATTCACCAATGAAGAACTGATGGTCGAGAGAGTGATAACCGATCCTCCTTTGGGCCGCAGTGATCATGCGACGCTAGTGTTTCATTACATGTGCTACGCGGATCATCCTAAAGAGTATGCCGAGGTATATAATGTCGTAATCAACTATGACGACCTGTCCGACCTCATTGATGCAGTCAGCTGGTCGTTCTTAACTGAATTAACCCCTGCGGTGGTCTGCGAAGAACTCGTCGACATATTTCCCAAGCTCGTGGCAAGGACATCTGAAACCAAACTCTGTCGGCCTAAAAGGGTGACGTCTTTCGCAAGGAGCAGGACACGTAAATGCATGGCATCAAGGGACTTGGCATGGCACACTTACAAAGCCTCGCCGAACGACCATACCTGGGATGTCTACACAATACAAAGGAACCACTGTGTCGAACTCGTCCGGAAGGATAAAATTAAGAAGCAACAAGGTCTAGTGGAAAAATTTTGCTCCAATCCCAAACTGCTATACAGACACGTAAACAATTTGCGCCGTGTCAAGCGCAGTATTCCTGATCTGCGCACAGCATGCGGGTTAGCCCAAACCTCACAAGAGGCGGCCTAGATTCTTGGACAACAAGTTGGCCGTACCTTCCAAAGCGTGCAATCATCATACATCCTGCCTAAGCAGATAATGCCGCCATCAGGCCTTGATGACATATCGTTCACCTCCGCAGCTGTACTGAAGAGGCTGATGTCTCTGCGCGAGTTCAGCTCCCTGGGTGTTCACGGCATTCGCCCGAAGTCGTTGAAAGTTGCTGCCATGCGTTTGGCGGGACCATTAGCAAATTTCTTTCAACGATGTGTGAACGAGATTCACGTCCCCAAGATGTGGAAGCACGGAATCGTCACGTCAATCTACAAAAGTGGCAGTCGTGCTTAGCCAACAATTAATCGCCCGATAACACTACTTCCTGTGATCTCCAATGTTATGGAGTCCATTGTAGCTGAGGCTTTGATGGGTGCCTGGAGAACAACAAAATTCTCGTTCCGGAGCAGCATGGATTACGCCAAAATCGCTCCTGTACCACTAATCCGTTGATTACTCGTGCAAGCTGGACGGAATCTGTGACGCTGGTGTAGGAGTCGACGCGGCCTACTTGGATTTCTCAAAGGCATTGGACCGTATAGACCATTGCATTCTCTTCCACAAACTCCAGAATTATGGAATGGGCGATCCCGTTCTTGCCTGGATAGGAGACTTTCTCGTGCAACGTCACCTGAATGTGAGGATTAGAAGCAACCTATGAGAATCCATCGAAGTTCGGTGCGGCGTACCTCAAGGCTCGGTACTTGGACCCCGTCTGTTCCTGGTTTTCATAAATGATCTCTTTAGCGTGCTATCTTCTAACTGTTTGCTATTTGCTGATGACCTAAAGGTATGGCGTACTATATCTGCAGTGGAGGATCACATAACGTTAAAGGAGGACCTGGACAAAGCGTACACATGGTCCATCGAGAACATGCTGCACTTCGACGTCACCAAGTACAAATTTCTCAGCATACGGCACAAGAGCATGTTCAAGTACCGCCTAGGACCACAAATTCTACAGCAGACTTTTCACGAGTGCGATCTCGGCGTGATAGTTCAAGATGACTTCGGTTGTTTGAGGAAGACTGAAAAGGCAGCTAAGAATGCAAAACAATACCTCGGCCTTCTTTGCAGAGCTTTCGGGAAGTTTGACCCTTGGATGTTTCCAAAAATGCTTAGTGCGTACGTGAGACCGCACGCGGAATACGCTATCCAAGCGTGGCAACCCTGGCTCAAGC